GTTAAGCAGGCAGGCTCCCGTTGCCGAATATGGACACAGTTAATGAGGATTGTAGACCCACGGCTAGTGCTTCTTGCATGAAGAGGTTTGTAAATATCTTTGCAAAAGTTAGATAAAAAATGAATATAAAAATGACACTAGTTCTTACACCCAGCAAAATGCATGCGTAAAATTATATGCATCAAATCACATGCGTATCGCGAAAACCTGCTATACTCTACATATAGTTATGTTAAATAGTTCCCAGTTCCCCTCACTGAATGCGCCCCTGCGGCAGGTGCGACTCCACCTCTCCTCCACCTGAGTGCGCCTCTGGAACTCATGGTATATTCATCGTGGTCCATTCAAAGCGTGTTAGGGCTGAAAGTGAGCGCTCTTCGGTACGGGACATGGGACCCGAGCAGGGCCTCACATATCGGTCCCCGCGCCAAACCTGGCGGTTGCCCATCCCGCATTACAACAAATCAGTTGACTCACCGTCTAAAGTTCGATGGAATGACTAGTTCAATCAACAGGGGAACTCCTGTGCAACCGATGGGTTTCCCCTTGAGAAGTTCCGCGAAGTGACCTCAACAAGCCCCCACAGCCGGTTGCTAAAATGGCATGGCACGTTGTAGCTAGCGTATTGTGGTGAACTTAAAATAGTCATGCATGTGCACTGTTGTATAGTTAATGAGGAAAACGAATCATATCCACCACCTAGTACCTATCTCACATATCTGCACCGAAATGATTGGCGTAAGGCTAAGCCATATGACAATCAACCTTCACCACAATCCATGAGCAGCCAGCAACCGTTCTCAGGGGAGCTAATGGGTGAATCATATTTTTATATGCGGCCTGGTAAAGCCCGAGACCCACCAATAATTTCGGCATTGGCAGTCATAGATAAAAATGTATTCGACATTCTAAAATTTACCATTGAAGCCCTTTAACTAGTGTGACATTTAAGTGATACCTACCGGTGTTTAATTATGCTTTAATGTATTATTCCTATTGGTAATCTGAGCATTTTTTCATGACATCATCCGGATGGCGTCAATCACCGATCGTCAAAACGTTTCAGGCTCAACTGAGCAAATGAACATTTCAGGTTACACCAGAGGTTACAGGATACGATTATATCAGAGCGGCCTCCAGCAAGAACGCTACAAAACCACTTACCGCATAAGCCGAACCGGATGAATCCCATTAGCCGCCGTTATCTGAGGCTTGTTTTAGAGATTCGGTTAGTGCCAATACCTAGTTCCATGGCCAGAGTAACTCTATCACCCATTACCGTGTAATGCTTAGCTTCCTCTCAGTTCCACTGTCAGGTTTTCTCAGCTTCACTAAGTTTTCTCTGAGCTGTGTTACTCTGAGTGCATTTGCGTGTCAAAGATCTCCTTTGAGTTACACTGAGTTACACTGAGTTGCCATGAATGAACTTGTGAGCTCTCCTGAACTCCACTAATTTCCTATGAGTTCTTGACCACCTCTGAGCTCCTCAAGTTCCCCTGAGTTCCTCTTAGTCCCCCTGGCTCCCTCTGAGTTCCTCTGACCTCCTCTGACCTCCTTTGACCTCCTTTGACTTCCCTTGAGCCCGACGCGGGTCAGCGGGGTCGCTTCTGAGGCACCTCCGGCCGCCGGACAGCCGACCTAACACTCGCTGACTGATGAATTAACATCACGGACTGTGTCGGAAACCGTATAGCACGACATTGGTGTTCACGGCTGAGTGCCAGAGACAAACTTAGATAGATACAACATACATGCTGCATACATATTCAGTCGAGACATCTGTTACTCACTCGTACATCCGATACAAGCTCTGTTACATGCATCGGGCAGTTGATGGCTATAAACAACAACAGGATATTAGGATATATACATGAACTCAACTCAACGGAACGAACAAGGAGCTGAAGGATGGAACGCAGACTCAAAAGGATACATGGACGGTGCAGAATACCTACTCATATAGAATAGAGATGCCGACGAGCTTCAAATGCATTTGATTTTGTCAATGTTTATTTACCCGATTAGCTAACATTTTCGGTACTCTTCCAAACGAAAGGTAAATAAATACGACTAATCCACAAGAGAATCGGCAATATCCATAGCCAATGAAGCGTGCATCTCCTGCCGTTACTCGCGATGGAAGCGTCAGTACTCAGTACCGAGCGGACCCACACAGCGTCATTCCGCAATGGCTCGGGAGCTCGGGGCTGGGTAATGCACACCGCCCTCCATATGACCTCGCATGTGTCGACCTACTGGTGCTCAAAGGCTCACACACACGATCCTGAAGGGCTGACGGCAGCACGCGAGCTGTTCCACTGGCTGGTCTACCTTTGTAATGGAGTAAATGCGGGCACAAGGTAAGCTCGAGCATATTAGCTCGAGCACATATTAATTAAGTATAGGTGCAGTGTAATTACTGTACGACAATGTCCAACTACCCCTGCAATCAAGGCATGTACACTGTACAGCCCACCGCTAAAGTAATGTAGGGTTTTACCAATCTCAACGCTTGGCTTTGACTGGCGATTGTTTAATGCGGAGTGATCGAAAAGAAGATGTCAATAGCTAAAATTGCAGCTGCAAGGGTGACGATACATATAAGCTACATTCAATGTTTCATTGTAGTCTGGCTAATCGTTCCTAAACTTCAGAAGCAGAACATACCCATGACTGAAACCCCACATTACTTCTGCTGTGGACTGTACATTGTACATGAGTATCCATCAGGTAACCGCATAAATGCCCTGTTCTATAAACCTCACATCCCCAATATTTCACAGCGAAAGGAGCAGTACCTAAGTAAGTCGTGACTTTTATATAAACATCTATGCATCGCTGATATTTAAGCAGCTCTTCATCACTTTATCTTGTCTACCCTTCTATCTTTTTTCGTGACCGTTACATAATAGTTGTATTGAAGAAAGGGAAGGAGATAAAGAACATGACAGGTGATTGGAAGGCAGAGACAGAGACGGAGAGAGCGAGAGAGAGAAAGAGGGGGAGGGAAGTGGAGTGAGGAGGAATGGAGCAGAAAGAGTGCCTCTGTGTGATCAGCTGCCAAATGAGGGAGCGGAGGAATTCGGCAGGGGAGGGGCTGACACAAGGAAAGGAGGCTGACAGAGGAGGGGGCAGGCATAGGGGAGGGGCTGACCGAGGGGGACTGACACAAGAGGGAGACTGAAAGGCGTGCGGAGAACACCGAGCGCACAGTCTGACAGTGGAGAGAGATTCTGGAGGCTGATAAGACAACAGCCAGTCCATGGTGCGGTAGTTCGTAACGCATCCATGCTTTTGAAAACCGGAGTCACCGCCCACTAATTGACTGAGTTGTGGTTGAGCTAGGAGATAGGACCCTGTAAGGCCCATGATGGGGCCGTATCATAAACAGTATGGCATTGGCGTGTGCCACATTGGGTATGGCTAAAACGGGAGGACCATTCCTAGTTCCTGCAACTTTTTTCATCATTGGACATTGATTTGAAATATAAGAAATGTGACAACTGTATGCAAGTAAAAAGAAAAGATTCTACTTAGAAAATATTTATATGGTAATCATTGTTAGACCGGCGGCTTTTTGATAGGTAATATTAGCCGAACGGCTATCTGGCGAATGCACCTAATTTGACCATAGCTGCATCTAATCTGCACCTAATTTGCAACAAATGTGTACCAGATGGCTATCGTGAAAACGGCTGATATTTGGCTAGACCCTTTCGGTCTATGGAGGCATTTCAAGGTATTGACATAAGGGATCATGCAGTGAGGAAGGACCGTGTCAATCACCGATTGTTCCGCCATGCAGTCAGGCGTCAGCTGAGACCCATCCCGAGAGTGTTCTGGTGCGATAAAAAAGGCCGGCCAGTCGCTCAGTACGGTCAGCCCGAACAGGTCTGCTCCATCTGGAGCCATGTGGAGCAGCCCTCCCGACCGGTTGTCTGGTGGGATGGCCGTCAGCCCGGACAGGGAAGCGTGATCAAGGATGATCAAGGATATGACTTGGATGGACCGATTTTCAGGATAGAAGTGACGAACGAGAGACCCAGTTAGGCGTGGTCATCTTGGTGTAGAGATGTCGCACGGCTGGTTCTTGGGTTCAGTTTTCACCGCCCTCTCAGAAATCATCTCCTTCATTGATATCGCTCTCGTGCTTCTGGGTAGCTGTCCTCCCAGCTGGTTACCGCGATTACTTTAACTTTTGTGTGGCACGTCTATGGGCACGGGTTCAGCCGCGGCGGAGCAACAGAATGTGGTGGATGACGGTACTTACTTCAGTTCTTCAGCTTCAGTTATATGCCTCGCCTACCAAGTAGTAAAGTAATCTTGCGTCTACCTATCCTCACATCTCATGCCATGCCCCCCCCCCCCCTCCAAATGGTTTGTTAGACCCAAAGGGCTAACAAACCATTTTCCAACTAAACAATGCAAGCGAGGCATATAAGAATATACTCGGTCTCTGTTGATAAGTCATGAGCTCAGTTCTGTCTCATGTCTGCAGACGGAAAGACAGAGAGCGGACTGGCATGTCTGGAGCTGTATAACCCCTCGCTGACAGGATCGCTTGCTCTCCGTCTGACGTGGCTTCTCTGTCCGTCTCTTTCTAGTTGCGATGTCCGTCTGTCTTTCGTCTCTCTCTCTCTCTCTCTCTCTCTCTCTCTCTCTCTCTCTCTCTCTCTCTCTCTCTCTCTCTCTCTCTCTCTCTCTCTCTCTCTCTCTCTCTCTCTCTCTCTCTCTCTCTCTATCTCTCTCCACATCTCCCCCCAAGGCCCAAACTCACCCCTCCCTTCCCTGCCTATTTCCACCACACAGTTCCATTTCCAGCCCACTTCCCTCTCACAGCCGTGGACCCATGTCCGTATTCCTCGTCTATGAGGCACCGACCAGCTCCGTGCGTGCCTTTAGCGTTCCCAGCGGCCTTGAGACTGGATGACGACCGGCTCCCATTGGCCGCTGCCGCCGCCGCCGCCGCCGCTGCCGCTGCCGCCCCGCCGCCGCCGCCGCCCTGCCACCGACGACAGAGGCCCACACGCACCACGAGACGCGAGCGACCAGCAGTGTGAGAGAGTACAGACATCATGGGGAAAAACGACTGCTGCTGCGGAAAGTACAATGCCCGGGAGGGTACCAAGTTCATCGCCATCGCATCGAGCGTAAGTTTTAAACAGGAGAGGGAATTGTGCCATGTGCCAGGGAACGAATTAGGAGGGTTTGTATGCGGAGTTTGACGAGATCGGGTCACAATTTAGGACATCTGGCCGGATAGCTTCACATGTTTGAAAGCTTCACCTTCTTCTACGTGAGGAAGGTAGCATGACGATGTTCCTCTGAAACATGTCCATGCAACAACTTCCCGTGTTCACATCCCAGGCTCATATCTCTCCACGGTTTATAAGAGGGGCGTCATCGCGCCCCCGTTTTGGCGGGCGCCGCCGTCGCCGCCGCCGCCGCTGCGTGGCGCGTCGGTCGTCGCGAGCCACGCCCGTTTGGCCCTGTCGCCAACGACGATCGCCGGTGGCGACGAGACGAAGCAACAAGGGGTGGCGGCCAACATTAAGGCCACAACAATAGTAGATGTTCCGTGATCGAGGGCTGCTTTTGGCGAGCGACCGGGCGTGGTTATAGGAACGGGGCGGAATTCAAACCGCTGATGAAAAGGCATGCAGAATTTGATAACGTTTAAATTGTCGTGTTTTTGGACTCATGATGCAAGCAATATAATGCGTAAGGCTATACATTCCTTTGTGCAAAGCCCATTAAGCCAAGCCATGTGCCTGAAGTCCAAACAGGTAGAGACTGAGAGTGACATGAGCTTGGATGGGTTTTAAAACGGATAAGAATATGAATACGGGGATAGAATATGACTGCCAATCGATAATTACGCAGCTCCTAGGACCCAACCTATATGATCCACAGATCCACTAACATTGCCATCAGCCGCATATACTGGAAACCAATGCAGTGTCCCCTCACTACAGGTTCCTGGCTGCGCCTCTGTCCCTGAACTACCCCTCCCATGACGCCTGGGAGCGCCACTGCGGGATGCGCGCCGATGGGGCGGGGCTGAGCGCGCCGGCTGTGTCCGCTGAGATCCGGCCAAACATGTGCCAAGATATACACCGGGAATCCGCTAACGCCGACATATAATGGCAGCTAGCAATATTTTACATATGCTAGGAGAAAGCGCCGGGTCCCTAGTATCTCATGACAACGAATGTTTCACCATCAAACGGCAGCCAGGCAGCTTTTTTTGCTCAGTATGGCGGCCTAGCCACATCCCTTAGGACCGTGGCCCTTCTCTAGGCGGCCCAGTCAGTCAAACCCCTAGGGGAGCGGCCCTTTTCTTGATTCGTAGCGACCCAGCCACAGCCCTAAGGCAGCGGCCCCTTTTGGTACTTTTAGCGTCCTAGCGCTGCTTTCGGACAGCAGCCTCCCCCATAGCATCTCGCACGTCTTCTGCTCCTCTGAAGGGGCGCGCCGTCTCACTCCAATTGATCTTTATGCGGCACATACTGATGGAACGGCTGCATTTGCTCCAACGAGGCACAATTGGAAAATTAGCCAGATGCTATTGCGGTGATACATGCTTCTGGCGTAATTACACAGACAACGCGGCTAGGGGTCAAGAGCCAAGAGGAACAAGAGGCCGAGGGACTTGGAAATGGACTTCTCCGAGGTTTTGATGTAATGCTTTTGGATCAAAATACAATTGTGCATGTCAACGATACTTGCAGTATTACATTGAGAAACGATGAGAAGAACCCTGGGCCTTGCAGCAAAAGCAAACATTTTCTTGCAAAACAACATCTGTTGCATGGTTCTGTGTGTAACTGAAGCCAAGTGATCTCGGTCGTGACGAGAGACCCGCCAGTGAGCCCTTCACTAAATAGCCGCAAAACAAACAGTGCTCAAACCCAGCACAGTGAGGATTAACTTTATCTTCCAGAGAGTAACCGCAGATGCATCCATTAACAAATTAAGTACGACTTACAAACGAGTTTTCGCCCGACGGATGTGCATTGTTCAAGGCACAAAATCAGTCTGTAATGGGCATTTAAACCTGTAAATTACTCATGTATCTGCGATAATTGTGACCCATTAACAACTTAACAATACTTCCGCTGGGTATCACTTGTATTCCTCCCCCCGGGCGCCGGTTCGAGGGGGGGGGGAGGTAGCTACCCACCGGACGATGGTAATCCATACCGCCACCGACCACAAGAACTGGTCAACAGCCATCCGAAATCAATGGACAATCGACGACTCGCAAAAAATAACAGCTATGGTGAAGCATGCGATGGGTCGCACGATGAGATGTGATGAAATGACGCGATTAGACCCCCGCATGTGAGCGGTGCATTAGGAGGGCAGTATTTATACGTAAAACGGTATCTACACCATCCGTGCAGCTTTCAGCAGAGATGAATATGTATGACTTTGTCATTTAGGGAGACTGGCCCCACGTGACAGTGCGCCGTCCTTGCTCCCGGAAATCCTATTCGAACGACCTGATAAATTTATAGTATAATAGCTTAAAACTTCTTTGGCAATGCCCCAAAGAGCATCAGTTTTTTTGTCAAACTTCTTCGTGATAGAGTTTTTGCATTTTTCCTGTCGAGTGTCAGCCTATCGAGGATAATTTTGTTCACGTAGGTAGGACACATTAAAATGAACTAACGCATTCTTTTGTTCAAATCAGGAACGGAAGGAACGGTTCTATCTTCACCCCTTTCCCCATGCTTAACATAAAGGTAAAACGCCAGTCATAAATACTAACAAGCAGCTGTGCGGCCCCGTCAGCCCTAACACCTGTAGCATGCAGAGACAACAGGTCCCCGTACCGTATACCCCACGACCTCTGACGCAACGGGCGATCTTTCGCCAGTCGTCACCATCCTACTGCACTTGACATAACACTTTTCTTTGTTTAATTTTTTACGCGACCCAGCTGGGCCAGTGGCAGAGGTGCGGATACGGCTTCTGGTAGTGGCAGTTTACCAGTTTATTATTGGTTTACTTGATTTACGACTATACCGACCCACAGCCACTGGACCAAGGATGGGGAGAATTCAACGGCTCGGTAGATCATTTAGGAAACATACCCACGTAGAGGCTTCGGGCCTTCCTGTATACAATATCCAGGCGTTGGTTTACAGGGTCAGGCCGCTCTGAGTACAGGGCCGGGGGCGGGTGGGCGGTATCAGCGGCCGTTCACGGTCTACCGCTCTGGCTCGATGGTGGCTGCAGCGGACAGCGCCAGGTCCGGCGCGCGGCGGCGGCGGCGGGCGGCGGCGGCGGCGGCGGCGGCGGCGGGCGCGTTCGTTGGCCCGGGCCAGGCCCGAGGGGTGTTCCGACCTTGGCCACGCGGCCCGACTGTCAGACAGACGCACCGGCTCGGCTGACAACGAGCGGGCAGCGCCATGGCCGACGCCGAGCCAACTTCCCAAACGGTCTCGGCACCCCGCCTGATATAGCTCGGTTAGAGCCGACCATACTGATGACCCGGCCGGCGGGGGCTGGGGAGGAAGGGGAAGAGTGGGAGGGGTAGGGAGGGAAGGGTGGGAGGGGGACGGCTGGACACATGTCCTAGTAGGGTCAGAAAAGTGGCATGGTTCTTAATCAGATAACATAAGAAGTACTGAGAAATTAATTAGAGAACTCGGATTATCAAATTATCAGAGTCCCAGGAAGGGAATTCTTATCAGGTGGGTTCGATTGGTAAGAAGGACGCTAACGGCAAGCGAAAATTATTCGGTAAATTTGCATATTTATTGGTTTTGGTGAGCATGGTTTAATTTCTGAAGTGTAGAAGTGCTCCTTCCACATTTCCCGTATATCGTGTTACTTCTATGCCAAAGACGAGTATTTCTCTGAGCGTTACCTTGTCATTCATGAACTGTGTTACTATTTCCACCGAATACCGTGTTACCATCGTGTTACCATGTCCGCCAGACCGTGTTACCATGTCCGTCACACACCGTGTTACCATGTTCGTCACACCGTCGGTTTACACACCGATGTACTTTGGTTCGGCGAACGTGCACGTAAACTTTGACCGCATCCCTGGACGTCAAGCAGATGTGTTTAGACTAAACCGATTCATATACTGGCAGCTTATGAACGCCTTTATCTCAAAATGACTCGGACAACAGTTTCGGACAATTTATTTTTCTTATAGGACTTACAGAGACGACTTGGTTTACTCAGGAGGAGACTATATTTTATGAGTGCAGAGACGACGATGACAAAATGTTTTGTGATAGGTATGCGAAAATACGCAGACGTCTTTCAAATACGCAACGTCTTAGACTGCTTCGTTGATGTGTTCCTCGTCTTCGGGCTTAAGATTGTACCCCTCAGAAGCGCCCCCCCCCCCTGTCTCACCGCTCGTGCCGCTTTCTAACTCCCCCCCTCCGTTTTCAGATTCTGTCGGCCCTCTCCATAGCTGGATGCATTTGGGAACTCATGAAGCTGATGAGGGCTCAATCGGAAATTGAGCGTCTGATCGGCTCCCTGGAGAATCTGGGCAACACCCTGCAGCAGCTGGGCGGAGAGTTCACGTCCAACAACAACTCACGCCAAACCGCCAGGTGAGGACTGGGAGTGCAGGCAAAACTGGTGGCGGAGGGGCTGGGATCCGGACCAACTGGGCGAGATGACTGGACCAAATTGTTGAGGCTGGACGAAGTGTGGGTGGGCCTATGGACTGTGCAAAATGAGGGAATTGGACCAAATGGTGGGATGGGATTGGGCCGGACTGGTACTGAAAAATGGACCAGGAGGGGACTGGGACTAGAACTGGGCCAATTGGTAGGTGGAGATTGGGACTGGGCCAAATGGGTGGAGGAGGGGGCTGGAATAAACGCCTAATGGACTTTGCGATACTTTGTAGCGGGCGCGTCTGCGACAGAAAATGATGCAATAAGGAAGGGCTGGGACTGGGACAGATGATATGAAGGAAGGTGTGGAAAAAACGAGGCTAAGGAATGAAAACGGACTGCGGAAAGGGAGGATCGGGGACTGGACCAAGCTGGGACTGCACCAAATGCTAGTGGCGATGGCGTGGCGAGTTTAGCCCTATATCGGACTCACCTGCTGAACTCACTTGTTATTGTGAGGTTTCCTTGCTCATTGCCCAGATGGTGGTAGGGTTATACGAGACAGGAAACCGTGTCGAAGAGAGACGTGCCAACGCGAACAATAGATACGCAGGACATTCAGAACTGGACTGTGCAATTGTTAAGGGTTGGAATGGCACGTCTGCTTGGGTGTAGTTGTTGCTGATGGAGGTAGTCCTTGTGTAATTTGCAACAACGGACGGGGTCGTGTGCCAGGGTATAAGTGTTAGGCATACCACCGTTTGGCCGATTTACCCATTTGGTCTACCAGAGAATCGCCGATTATTGGCTCAAATGTGAAACCTGAACTGCTCGATTGAACATTGATATTTGTAAAAGGAAAACCGTTCGGTTCAAATGGTTGAATTGTAACACTAGGTTAGGCTGGGGGGATCCGTGCTATCGTAAGTTATATCGGACGTGGCTGCGAAACTTCTCTCGGTACGAAACTTCTCTTGATCGGAAGAAAATCGGAGGGATGAAAAAGAAAGAGCGGCAAATCGGAGCTACGTTGTACGTAAGTTGTTTCGCAGCGTTTAAATGCCCGTTTTACTACGATTTAAATGCCAAGCAGATCAGCTGACCTCGTAATACCATGTCGATAAGGTCGAATTCCCCATACGTCTATAGTGTAAAAGTGACCCCTATTGCAAATGGGCTGTCAGGGACATCTCCTCCTCTGTAAATTTGGAGGGATGATGTGTCGGCATTCCCACGTTCGTTTCGGAGTCCATCTGTTCCATTTGGAGCCCGTCAGTTGGCGTCAAGAGTTGGCGCAGCGAGCGCCCCGAAGACTGCGTCTGCGCACGAGGCTTCGCGATGTAGGAGTATTTTGACGAAATCGCCCTCGCTGCAGAAGAAATAGTTCAGGGGGCGCTCAGATGATCGGGAGGTTTCAATTGATCAGGGACCCACCAGGTGACCAGGGAACCCTCTGATAACCAGGGGTCCTTCCAGTAACCAGGGACTCCTTCAATAACCAGGGGCCCCTCAGTAAACGTGGGCCACTCAGGTTACTGCAAGAGACAGGAGTCCCTTATAACCAGGGACCGGCAAGGTCTCTCAGGTCCGTTTTTGACAAAGCTGTTATTGATGTCATATGCGAGCCCTTTGCCACCAGCAGAGGGCCCTTTCAAGCCTTTTTTAGGGCCGTTTAACGTCTCTTGAGTTTCCTTTGAGGCTAAGGGCCTCTTCAGCAGCCGAGGGGTCTTTGAGGCCTTTTTGAGGGCCTCTTAACGTCAGCTGAGGACCGTTGGACGCCATCTGAGGACCGTTTGGGGCCTTCTGATGGCCAGTAGATGCCAACTGAGGGCTCTCTGACACCAGCTGAGGGCACGCTGACACCAACTGGGGGCCTCCTGACACCAGCTAAGGGCGCTTTTATATTTGACACGAGCTCAGGGCCTTTTGACGCCCTTTGAGACCTTCTGAGGTCCGTTTGACGCCAGCAGAGGACCCTTTGGGTTCATATTAGGGCCCTTTGCTGCCTTTTAAGCGGCCTTTGAGGCTTTTTGAGGGCCGCTTGACGCCACCTGAGGACCGTTGCGGTTTGACTCCAGTTACGGACCGTTTGAGGCCTTCTGATGGCCATTTTGCGCCAACTGAGGGCCGGGGGGCCCTCTGACACTAGCTGGGGGCCCTCTGACACCAGATAAGGGCCCTTTAAGGCCTTCTGAAGTCCGGTTAACGCTAGCGGAGGGCCTTTTGAGGCCAAATGAGGGCCCTTTGAGACCTTATAAGGGCTCCTTGAGGCTTTTGAGGGCCGCGTGACGGCATCTGAGGACCGTTGTACTCCAGCTGACGACCGTTTGAGGCCTTCAGATGGACTTTTGGCGCCAGCTGAGGAGGGCTCACTGACACCAGCTGGGGGCCCTCTGACACAAGCTAAGGACTCTTTAAGGCCTTCGGAGGGTCGTTTGACGCGAGCTCAGGGCCCTCTGACGCAGGTTTAGGGCCCTTTGACGCCCTTTAAGGTCTTCTGAGGTAGGTTTAACGTTGGCTGAGAGCCCTTTGAACCCATCTGAGGGCCCTTTGAGGCCATCTTGTGGCCCTTCATTTGGCCATCTGAGGGCCCTTTGACACCAGATGAGGGCCATTTGACGCTAACCGAGGGCCCTTCGAGACCATCTGAGGACCCGGTGACCCCATCTGTGGGCCCTTTGAGGTCTTTTGAGGGCCATTGAAATTTCACCACAATACCCCTGGCTGCGCTACTGGGCATTTATGGACTCGTATGGGCCTGCTGGGGAACGAGATGGGCCCTCCCGGTCTTTTTAATCATCATTTCAGTTCATTTTACATGGTCTTCGGCGGTCTAAAGATTAGGGACCCCAACTCGAATGGGGGGAGGCCCGTGTGCCCTCTCCTGTGTGCGGCCTTGCCGACACTACACCGCTTCCCCTCCCTCCGCCATAAACGCACCGCTGCACTGCTAGGCGCCGACAAATACGGACCGGCGCCGCAACCGGCTCCCCCGCGGCCTGCCTCGCGTTGACATAGCCCTTCCCGAACACCAGTGTAACCCCCACGCGGCCTAGGTATCGCCGCGCCCACCTGTCCGCGGCGCGGCCTCTGATGGCGTATCGGATCATTGATGGTGCGATACATGTTTTGGTCAGATTTTCGCAATTAACGCGAAAAATTGCTTAAAACACTTTTTAAATTTCAAAATTAAAAAAAAATAATAATTACAAAAAGGACGTGAAAGTGACCGTTTTCAACGTGTAAATTTAAAACGCTCTAGCGCAGCCATTTTTGAAGAAATCGACTTCAAATTTTGCACACGTGTTCATCAACCATATTTGTTTAACCCGCGCCCTGCTGGGGGGGGGTGTTTGAACACCCCCCCCTTGTGGTTTTTCGCGAATATCTCAAAAACGGCGGCGCCTCCGCGCCGCCGTTTTTGGTACACCTTATCATACATCAATTCTACACATGTTGTCAAAATTTCAGACCAAGGTCATTCAAGGTCAGGTCACCAGGTCACTTGAAGTGACCTCACCTCATCAAAAGTTTCAATGTCTGTCATAGCTACACCGAGTGACCGATCGCTTTGAAACTTTCAGCGATTGCTAAGAGCAATAGCATGTACAAAATGTATATCTCAGAATTTTGATATCGATGACCTAAGGTCAGGTCAATTTTGCGACCTCCCCATTATAAGTCAATGGGAGAAAATTGAAATGCGCCTCTTTTGGATGAAAGACATTATAAACACTCCGAAACACCGAATTACAAGTGGTTTAGACACACTGAACATGAAAATGGTGTCCGTGACCCTTGTTTATGCCCTGAGGTCATCTTAGGTCACGAATGGTATCTAACAGTTTTTCGCAAATAACTTTTGATAGAGGCATGCTAGAGCGATGAAAACGCCTTAGATGTGTTCAGCTCGACGATACGGATCGACTGATATGCAACATGACCCTTTCCGGTCAGGTCATGACCTTGACCTGAGGTCAAATTTTCAAGTTGACCTTTCAAGGTCAAGTTATAGTTCATTCGATGCGTCTTGACGAGAGGAACACGATGCCGGTAAAAGTAAGCTCGTACAGGGCTTGGGTCAAAAGTTATTGCAGAAAAACTGTTTCCAAAAAAATCGGCTATTTTTGCAGTTTTTGCCCCCTGCAGGCAAAACCGTTGATGTTAGGTCAAATCTGAGAGAATTACTCAGAAAGGGCGTTAATAGGGCTATCGAATGCGTTTTTCCGCGGCGCTGTAGCTCTATTGGTTCCCGAGTTATGCGTTGGCTTCTTGGAAATTTTCGCCATTCGACCTGGAAATTGGCGAAATTTTGCCTTCAATGACCTCTGGTGACCTGACCTTTGACCTGACCAAAAAATTGACCGAAGCGATTTCGTCATTATTTTTGACGCTCTTTCGAACGCCGCCTTCCGCGTATCGCTACGTGGCCCAGGAGCCGAGTTACAAGGGGGGGTGTTCAAACACCCCCCCCCCCCCCCAGCAGGGCGTGGAAATCCAGGACCCCCAGCCGGGCGCGGGCATAGGTATATTTCGGTTTTGTGAAAATTTTGAAAATTTCTTATATTTTTCTCTTGAGAAAGAGGTAAAGCTTCGCTACGATCGGCCTTCCGATCGACCGAGAAGATTCGTAAAGTTAGTTCGTATCTTCACCATTTGCGATACAACTTGCGTATCTACTTAGCCTACGATGTGATGGATCCCTCCAATATCTGTTCCGATTCAACTTACGTTTGATCGCAACTGCGAGGTGCCTTGCGATTACATGGATCCCCCCAGCCTTAGTTTCACACCAAGTCACCCGTAGGATTGTTGCCTGTATGTCACCATTTCCGCCATATTTTGGCGTCACCTTCCGCCTAACTTTGGTATGACCTTAGCTTTTTACAACGATTCCATTTGCAAGATGAAGCTGACTGTCGGGGGTTTCTGTCGACATAATTCAAGCTATTATGTGGTATGACATTGGCTTTTATTTACAGCGATGCTTTCTACCAGAGGAAGCTCGTCGTTGGAGTGGGCCTCGGAATCGTTGTCGTCAGCCTGCTTACCGCCATTGCTCTGTTCTTCGCCGCCAAAAAGGTAATGTTTTCAATAGAATTGGTAATAAATGATCTCAAATCCTAGCAGTGAACTTGCTAATGCCACTGGCTGACACAGAACAATTCGTGGTTTCATTGTTCGGTACTCGTCTCCCTCTCGTCTCCCTGTCTGTAGAGAATATCTGTTCCTATGCTCCTGAAAAGTCTCTCTTCCTGCAGGGAACAACTGGTCATTGCGCCTGCTCATTCTTCTTCCCTCTATTATAATGCAATAACTTGCAACCATTTTATCATTTCTTCTCGATGCATCCACAGCGCAGCTGCTGTTTGGCCCCTTCACGAAGCTCTGCCGAGCCTGTTTCTCACCGAACTGCTTATCAAAACACCTTGTTGTTTTCCTCCTCCCCCAAGTCAGAACGACTGATCATAACGCTCTGCTCAACTCCAGTCTTACACAGAAGTCGGAACAGCTGACACCCTACATTTGCTAGAAACAACTGATAAAGACGCCCTATTAGGATTCCCTGCGACGGACGCCATCCCACAGATCAGGCGATCCTAACACAATGTTTTTTCTCGCTCTCTTTCACAGAACAACCGCTACATCGCCCTGCCCTACATGATCTGGACCATCATCCTTCAGATCCTCTACGGCATCGGCATTGCCGGCTTGATCTTCCTGCTGGTTGTTGGCGACTGGAATAACAGCGAGAACGATATCATCCAGACTGTCGTCGCTCCGCTGGTAGGCATAATCATCAGCTTTGTTCTCAACACATGGTGGCTGATTGTGGTATTCAACTTCTACAATCTGCACAGGGATGGCCAGGCTTTCGACAGTATTCCCATGCAGACCGCCTAAGAGGGAAGAAGGTTCTGCGAGAGCTGTGGAGAAGTCAGATGGTGAAGGAGAAAAGATGAGGCAGCACCGGGAGGAGTGAAGTCAAAGCGTGCGAGATCTGAAGATATTGAGTGGAGGTTGAGTCGAGACATACGAGACACAAGATCAGATCTCGCAGGTCTGAGAAGTGGCCGTGGGACTGTGAGCCTGCAGGGTGGGAACGGGGGGGGGGGGGCGGTTCAGAGAAGCTGATTTGCGCCACTGTCAGGATTCTGTTTTTGTTTGTGGGTAAGTTTCACACGCACTGAGGTCAGTCCTTTGCGCATCTAGGATTGTGATTTTGGGCGTTGAATTTCAAAGATTGTGGACCGAGGATATTGATGTGGCTAAACCCAGGAAGTTTGTCTGGTTATGTCACTGTCGTCTCTATATCGTCAGGCAGTAGCCGCTCGACTGAAATCCGTGAGGTCTCGTAGGACGTCGCGTAAGCCAGCTAACACGCCATTGCTGTAGGGAATCTTGCCGTGCGAAAGCTGCTAGCTTTTCCTCTCTGTATAGATAAGATTTGAGCTCGTGAGCTCGTGTTGCGACTGAATGGTGAGCGATGTTGCATTGTGAACCTCAGGCATGCTATCTTTCGCCATGCCTTGGGGTTGACCGCACAGACGGCCATGCGATTCTTACACAGTGCGCTTACTGTGAGCACAGGTAGCATTAGTCAGGTGAGCTTGCCGTTTTGGGGTCGGCACCGCCGTTTGAAATTTACACTCGGCAGATGGCGCCACCTCGGACCGAGCCTGAACCGATTGTGAGCGATGAGCATGTCAGCTCAGCTGTCACTGACAGATCTGAACTCAGTGACAGGTCAAAGGTCATTAACAGGTCAAAGGTCACTGACAGGTCAGCTGCTATTGCCAGCTCATCTCTCGTCAGAATCTCTCAGCGACCGCACTTTTCGTAATGCAACACGTTTTCGCTAGCAGGAAAAGCACCTGTCTTTTGATATTATTTTGCCACCCTTGGTATGCGTGTGGCTGCTGCATTTTATCACGGGCCTGCACTTGTTTTTCTGTTTTAGTTGATTGCCAGACCTATCCACCAGTCAACTGCTATGCAGTTGCTAGACTACACGCATCGTCTGTCGCGTTTACAAGCTTTGACACAATCGCTAGATAAGGAGTACTTACACATATTCGCCACGCACACGCTTCTAGAGTCTCTTACATCATCTTACTGATGTCGCACTACCAGCCTCTCTCTCTGCGTACGCGTATTGTGCCAGACCCCCAAGGGATCCCACAGATCCCCAAAGGGTTCGGCGTGGTGTCACAAACAATCTCATCTCGCTTGACTATTGATCGGCCGGGCCTTTCTCCCTCCAATCTCCCATATGTCGTGTCTCTCGGTGTATTCATGTCGTACGTCCGTCTCGGTGTGCGTATTGCGGTGTATCGCGAAACGGTGAGCCATTTCGGAGCGCATTGTGCTATAGAGCGCAACTTCTCGGCTCTCGTGTCTCTATGTGGCGTATTTGGTCCCCCTCCACCTTTGGAGGGAGTTGATCAAGAAGTTGATGTCACTCGGCTGCCAGGGATGTCACTCGAAAGATGCACTCATGCGCTTTGTATGGCCTTGGATGTGCTTCTCTCGCGACACTCCGTCAACGCTTTGACAAAACAACCATGTGCCTTTGTTGAAATACGTCCATCGTTCAATGTAACTACAAATCTGGGATGTTGTATCGCTTGATGCTAATGCCTGCCTTTTCGAGCCTTGCTAGCTTCTCTCGTACGCGGGTATATGTGTACAAGATCTGTCATCAAAATGTTTAATGATATTCAAGGCAGGCCTTTTCTTAGTAGTTATATTGGCAACGTCAACATTGCGCATTTCTGTTGTCATTAAATAAATGAAACGTAAAACCTTGTCTTTGTGGAGTAGTAAGTAGTAACACTCTTTTAGTGATTGGTAACATGCTAAATGTGTATTATTAATTGCAGTGCTTATATCAGACCGCTTTACATCGGAACGGGCTTCGAACTTTTCAAAATTAGCTGACATCACAACGAAGTGAATTCCGTTAGGAAGACGACTGTCTGGTCCAGGGGTACGTCCCTTCATCACACGTGATTTCATCAGTGAACCTTACCGTGAATAGCACGATAAGTTGGCGGCCGGTGACGTCAAACACAACTGAAAATGGATGAACCGTTCGTGAAGTGGCTGCACCTTTGTACGCTATTATCGCCTAAGGTCAATCAACCAAAGGCAAAAAAAAACGACCTCAATTATATTCTTGTAAGCTTGGCCACTAATTAGCTTAATCAGCTTCTGTTTTTCATTTTATAGTTTTATCTCAGATCCTGCTGCCCATGCTGTCCCCAAAGCAAAGGGCCAAGGGGCACGATTGGTACCAGAGGTAAGAGCTTCAGCGACCAACAGTTTGGGTGCGTACTGCGTAACCCCTAGACCCCCTCCCTCCAGTCTCCTCTCTCTCTCTCTCTCTCTCTCTCTCTCTCTCTCTCTCTCTCTCTCTCTCTCTCTCTCTCTCTCTCTCTCTCTCTCTCTCTCTCTCTCTCTCTCTCTCTCTCTCTCTCTCTCTCTCTCTCTCTCTCACACTCTTTCTCTCTCTCTCTCTCTCTCTCTCTCTCTCTCTCTCTCTCTCTCTCTCTCTCTCTCTTTCTCTATCTCTCCCTCTCTCTCTCTCTCTCTCTCTCTCTCTCTCTCTCTCTCTCTCTCTCTCTCTCTCTCTCTCTCTCCCGAGACTGTCAGCGGGGACACTCTGCTGATAGCTGGAGTATCACTATTCAGCCCGAATCCAAACTGCTGCAGTAGTTGGAGCCCTTATCTTGAAACCGATAGTGCATGGTAATGTGTATCAGAAACAAACATGCAAATATAGGCATATCACGCGTATAAAAGTAAAAAAAAAGTTTTCTTAAGGGCTAAGGCTAACTGACGTGAATTTCTGCCAGTTACATGGATCAAGAGGTCATTTATTAAAATTTACTAAATACTTTTCTTGACTTTGGAAATCATTCGTGCATATGATAAATATTACTTGGTGTGGTGGTACGATACACTTTTAAACTTCAATCGCAAAAGTAAGAAGCTGAGCTGACCTTTGTGACCAATGCCTTTCGAACCAGGAACAACCCATCTAAGTGCATTATCCCTCAGTGCACTCCAGCTGTCACTGTCAGCACGGTGAAGGTAAGTACAGGGCTAAGAGCTATCAAAGGTAAATTAAACAATCACCCGTTCTTTTAACAACGACCACGACGAGAGTTTGGCAACAATCGGAGAAACAAAACCCTTTGCCTTTGGTCAGGTACTTACAGAACTTTGGCCCAGACGCCGGGTCCGAGATCTTGTATCACCCAGGATCGCAGGCACGCCTGAATTAGGCCGTACTGAAAACCAGACAGGACATAGTCGGTGATAGGTAGGGTCAGGGTGATCCAGACTCGCTGGCTAAGGGTACTTTTAGATAAACAGGGTTTCAGACAGATGGGCTGAGCCTGAGTCAGGCAGGTATGAAGCAGACCACAGTACAACCGGGGCAGAACTTAGGTGCATACAGATGGGGTGAAGCAATCGCACCAAAAACACACACAGGGACCTTTACAAGACTTCCAGCAAATACTTTAGGACTTTAGGTCATTTGAGTGAAAACTCTACCATTTACTACCGCCGTTGTCCTGCGTGTTCCGTAATCTCTCCTGTAGCTAAATACTTCGCTCCAAACGTTTACCAGATGTCTTCATTGCCTTGGTTCTTAAAAAAAAAACACTGAAGTTTTTTCACTAATAACTGATTAATCAGTCTACTTATTACTGATTTGTAAATCTACAAGTCTATGTTATCCAGCGTTAGCGGATAAATCTTACCATGATGTGCTGTAAAAACTCCCGCAGTTGGCAGTCGGACCTGATCTATCGACCCACACTGGCAGGTCGCCGCAGTTCTTCGACGCAGTACCGGTTGGCCTCCTTGCTGTACCCGTCACTGTTGGTTTGGTGTGCCTCTGTTCTGAGTCGCCGTTTCACCCCCAGAGGCTCAGTTGGAAGGCCTCTACGCGGTCAGTCCGTGTGATAGTTCAGTGGTGAACAGGAGCTAAACCCTGTCAACAGAGGGGTGAGCTGTCAGACGAGATGTGCTTGTGATATGCGCTCTGCTGTCAGACGAGATGAGCTTACTAAATTGACTGATTTTATAACGTTAGAACGATTGTTTTCTAAGGTTTATCTATTCCACGGCACATTGTTCTTAAAATCATAGGTGAAGTTCATAGCTTAAAGCATTACTTCGAGGCAGGGGTGTGCCAAATACTCATTGGTTTTAAATTGGTTGCGTGTTGATTTCCGCAGAGTATGTTTGAATCCTACTTAAGCCGTTGTCAAACCTTTTACATTGCAAACAATACTAGCTGTCCTTCGGCGACCTTCAAGGGTCCTAAATGTGGTCGCACGACTCCGTTTTCCATCTCTCTCTGTCCATTTTCAACCGATATAGTCGCGCCCACAAGGCTCCACATGATACGCAGTGAGAGTCAAACCCCCGGTGTCGCACGGAGCTATGGCCTTTAGGCCAGCACATTTCCCGAGCGGAATGAATTTCACAGCCAATCATCTTCACATGAGAGAGCGGAATATGATACCCACCCGGAAACTGCAGTAAAATGAATGAAATATTGGCCAGAGATTGATGAGGAAGCCTGCGCATGACTGGGGGAGGGGGGGGGCTCCACAGAGCTCCCCCTCCCGTTTTCGGCAATACCTATCTTCTATACCGTTTCACGGATCTACACGAAACTTGCAGCACCCTCAGCAGCATCAATTTGACACCTTGTGTTAAAATTTCAACTATCTAGCTACCATAGTTTGGCCGGAAATGACGTCAGAGTGACGTCATGTCGGCCGATTTTGATGCAAAATATTGAATTACGACAAACGCTCTCAAGAGCTTAGTTTTAAAGCTAGATCCAATTTCTGTGCATCAATGGACTACAAACACACGTAGCTATCAAACTGCTAACTCGAATTTTCGAAATTTGGAAAATTTTGAAAAATATGTTATTACAATAACATTTCTTTTTATTTGTTCAACAAGTTCTTGATTTTTCGCAAAAACCGGAATATAGGTATGTGACAGAACACACACTGGTGAACTACTCTAGCAAGTTTTAGCTCAATATCTTTAAAAATAGCCAAGTTATTTGCATTATTGTCAAAAATTTGCAATAATATATTTTTTAAAACCATTTTTCAGTACGTTCTTGACATCGCACAGCAATATAAATGGCACCATCGTGTTCCTAAGCTCATACTGCATCTGATAGGCATCTTTTTTGTTAAAAAATCATTTTCAAAATTTGACCTTTTCTGTTCTGAAATTGACCTGACCTCCGGTAAATTCAGCTGAAAATGACCTCAAATGACACATACGACATTATTTTTTAAATCTACGTGTAATATGGACCATAAAACACGCGTGACGTGACCGATACATGATATACAATTTTCTTGACCTAGGATGACCTGGCGTTGACCTGAAAAATTCGAAGTAAAAGTTCGGTACCATCAGGTTATCTAAGGCATATACATATCAAGGAGTGTGTAAACCAAAAATGAGCCTGATCGGACTTGTCAGCCGGCGGCCAAAGCCTAAATTGTAAACAAGCAAAAATGCCGATAATAATTTTACTTTGACCTGACCTGAGACGTCATCGGTGGCCTCGAGGTCAATAAAAATAGGTGTTGCCCGATAGACAGTTTTTCCAGGGTTATCAGATGCCGTTTGAATTTTGACGATCGGCCCAGTAGTTTCGGAGATAGGACGAGGCTGTGGAGAGCCCCCCCCCCCCCCCCTCAGTCACTCACGTTATGGAAAATACCCCAGCCATGCGCGGGTTAATATTTCATTAATTATATATTTTGCGGTACAGAAGATTACCAAAAGGCCGCAGTTCGTTTCCATAAAAGCTTACTGCACATTGAGAAAGAAGTTATGCAGAAAATTTGATCCACATTTCACCATACCTTTCATGGTTGCCAGAAGCCATTCATCCAATTCTTGCAAGGGCAATAATAAGCCATTGAATATTATTATTCAACGCCAATATTATTCAAATGTGTCAGTTTTCCAATTACACCGTTAAATGGTATGTTGAATGCTTACGTATTTTATGATGGGGTCGCTCCTGCAAGCACTTGTGACTGACAGCTGACACGACTTTTGTTGACCGGCCACCGTCCTCCGGAGGGGCGGGCGGCTGTGCCCCGGGGCGCCCGCGCTCCTCGCCCGCTGATTGGCTGGTGCCAGGTGTCAACCGGGTCACGTGATCACCGCTTGACGAAGGCGGCGCTGGAGTGCCGGCCTTATTGAGTGATCCATAGTTACAAAAAAAGCAATAATGACGAATGAGCTTACCGGAGCGCAGATGTTAGAAACAGTGACGGAAGCGTGGCTCCTTGTCGATGCTGGGAGCTTCCATCAGTTCCAGTGACGTAAGCTCCCAGCAGGCTTGTCATTTGCCTCAGAAGTCGCATCCTAGTAGCGGGGCAGAGTGAGGCTTAGTCGGGCTTTTCAGAGTTGATCTGGTAGATATGGTAGGGATGGGGTTTTTCGGACTCCATGACAGGCTTGGCGAGGAGTTCCAGTAGGACTATTTGCGGTCATGCATGAGGTAAAGCTTAGCTTTGATCTTCGATGATCATTTGCCTCTCTCGCTAATACCTAGCATTGATGTAGTTTTGGAGGCTCAAGCTGGATACATGGCATAATGCGTATCAGCAGCCGGGAATCGGACGGGGTTCAAGTTTGGCTCGATCCGAGAGATGACGTAACTTTTCCAGACAGTCGGAGCCAGACAGTCTGATGTGAAACGCCCTACATTTAGGATTCTAGAGCTGGCTTGTGTCCCATTTCGCAAATGTGACCATTTCGGATCAAGTTTGTGGGCGAATCCCGTTCAGAATCAGAAATGTATCGAACCCGAACACACGATGCACACGGAATGAGCTGGGCGGTGCGCAAATGGGCACAGAAGTTCTGCTCTGCTTCATTGCACGTGTTCCATTCTCATCTCATTCAAAGTCAGGGGCGTATTCTCATGTGTCATAAGTCATAACTCATTCCCAAAGCTCAGATTATGAACTGAACCCGTCAAATGCTGCACTCGTTTATGCGCTTTCAGACTCAGGATTTAAGCATTTGGGGTTTCAAAGTAAGCTACTTTAAATATATATATATATATATATATATATATATATATATATATATATATATATATATATATATATATATATATATATATATATAATCTAATTCCGTTCTCCTCAGTTGCTGATCAGCTTACACATGTTTCCATTCAAACCTTCCTCCATTGCAGCTCGGAAAGTGCTTTATTGCAAAGGAAGCGCGCATTTGAGCATTCATCAGTATAAGTATAGGTTTTACGTCAAATCCCTCATATATGGTGACGGTGTGCAATGTGCATCCTCTCATGATTCCTGATAACGAAACCACATGACTTCATTGTCACTCGGTCTACACAAAGCCCCCCAGTGCCCAGTGGTGACATGTCACGCCTTAGGCGTTGAACGTGCTTAGGTCGGAAGTCTTCTCATTTTCTACACTCGAAACATTACGACGCAATAACCCATGGTGGGGTGAATTATAATGCACACCGCATTCTGCGTATATTGATTCTGCGTTATTTGAGTTGGTTCTGACTTTAGGAAAAATGTCAGCGAGATGAGAGGTGCCCAGTTGGTGCTTAGTTGACCACCGGCGTATTACTCGTATAGCACCGGACGGAATTATTTGCGCATGCATATTAGCGATTTAGCGATACAATTAGCCAATCATGTGAGCGCACGATTTCCAAATAGCGGTACCTACATAAAGATTTGCTAAGTACGCTTTACACCCGAGAGGCCGAGACAAAGTGCTCTTGTTCCGGTCTTATGTTGGAGTGGATGCTGCCGTTAGATTGGCCCGAGTTGATCGCCGGTGATACTGATATACGCGCTTGATCACTGTCGATCACGACGATTCCTGTCATTCAACCATTTACCCAGGATCTACCCACACATTCAAAATATTCACCAGAGCAATATCGGAACGGATGCCGACCACATTATCAGGTCGGCGATTTGTCTCGAGTACGGAAGACGCGGCTACATGCACTCGATGATGTGCTTTCATCCGTGCATATTGGCCACCTTGCAACTCTGATCCAATATTTCAGCATATTTTTATTTAACCCTCGCATGTGTGCGGCGTTTTCCAGCTTCTAATGTGTAGGGGGGGGGGGGTCGGTTGGACCCCCCCCTTGCCGTTTGGCCCCTGATCGAGCTAGAGCTTCGCGGAAAAAACGAGCGTGTTGCCCGTGACGAGAGGAAGCCGATGATACCCAATTTTAAGGTCCTAGGTCATTGGTTGACCTTCCAGGTCAGGTCAATGACCCAAAGTCGGGAAAATCGGGACCTGTTAGAAAGTCGTAAAGTGTGGCTGCTAAGGGGTTTTTCGGGGTGCTGATCACGAATATCGTGTTAGTTTTGATCACAGATGATGTCTTGAAGCATTTAGACCAGGTCGGGTCAGGTCAGGTCAGGTCAACCAGTAGGCGTCGTGACGGGTATTCGTAGTACGTGTCAACCGCCTCTGACAGCTTCGTAACATGTTACGAAGTCACCAAAACTACTTCGTAAATGTTCAAATGGTTGCTAAATTCGAATTCAGCTCCAAAAACTAGCCTAGAAACATGTAAAACTCGAAAAAGTGACCCGAGGTCACCCGAGGTCACCAAAGGTCAATGACCTGACCTGAGCTTCAGGTGACCTTGACACACACGGGAGTAACATCAAATCACATGTTTGAACGTTTGAAACCACGAAAAGCTTGCAAACACGCGGCTAGTGCGAGCCGACATACGCGAAATCGCGATTCCGGCCAAACATGGTCTCGGAAAAGAGGTCACAGGTCAAAGGTCATTTGGGTCAGGGTCATGAAATTTTCAGGATAGGTGTAAAATTGATCAATGCGAGGGTACTGAAAGTTTCGTCGCGATCGGCCGCTTTTTACGCGAGTTATTCGCGAAAAACCATGGGGGGGGGT